CTGGCTTACGGGAATCCGTCCGTACGTTTTAGATACTATTACTCATTTATCGAGCAAACATCTGTGGAGCGCTCACTGTGCGCCAGGGCCTGCGCCGGGGTCAGGGGGGCAGGGCGAACTGGGAGAACGTGCTCGCCCGGAGCGCATTTATAAGTAATAATAAATGCTAAATAAATAAACAGGGTGCTATCGGGAAGTAGTAAGGACTATGAAATAGATAAAACGGGTGGTGTGATAGCTCGGCTGGGGAAGAGCTATTTTGGGTAGAAAGAGCCGGCTAAATCCATCCCCGTTCTCTGGGCCTCTGTCTCTCGTTCGGTAAAAAGACGGGCTTTTAGGCGTTCTGCTCTTTGGCTCAGTTGTTCTAGTGCCGGGGCCAAAAGGTGGGAGCAGGGCGGGATGGGATAAGGGGAGTCCAAGACCCCACCCCACCCCCTCCTGGGAGAGGAGCGCAGCGCGAAGTCTCCAGCCCTTCAGAGCGCTTGACTCCTGCAGAAATTCCGACGGGGCGGGGGTAGGGGTGGGAGGAGAGTCTGGGTTTCAAGGAGCCGCTGACTAGGGCCACGCTTCTCAGTGGGAACGGTGCATTTGCACCCCGCATTCCTGGAGAGCGAATCCATGCTCCCTTCCGTAGCTTGGCCGCCCCGTGTGCGAAGCACGTCCAGTCTCGCCCCTGACCACCACGCCGCGAGCGAGCGGATAGGCACTGTTGCCCTCGTTTTAAAGAGGGCCAGACTGCGGCTCACAGAGGGAAAACGTTGATTCCCCCTGATTCCAAACCCTGAAATTGCACCGCAACGCTATCGCTCACTTTCCTGAGTAGAAAGGATGGCTTAAAGCAACTAAATATCCACTAATGCCTGCTCTGTGTCAGGCCCAGGCCTTGCACGAGCTCAGTGCATCATCAGGGCAACCATGAGAGTCTTTTTCCCAGTATCACAGATGAGGGTGCCGAGGGTCAGAGCGATCAGGTCACTTGCTCAAGCAGGAGATGGAGCAGTTACTCCACTCCAGGTCTGTCCACGCCAGAGCCGGAGCTATTTCTCTCCCAGCAGGAAAGTAAAAGAACTCAAACTCAAAGGCAGGCCAAGAGAGGATCAGGCGACAGGGCCCCGGCAGAGGTTACCCCCCCTGGTCTTTCTCCTTAACATCTCTTTTAAGTTTCAAGGACTCATGTCTCTAAGTACCCCCTGCCTTACTCACAGCCACCACAGGGTGAGGTACAGCCTCTTCCACCTAAACAGGAAGGAAACTGGCCACCTTTGAAGGAAAGCTCCTTGACACAGACCACCACCTTGACCCTGACCCCCATTCCCAGGGATGTTCACCTACCCCTGATGGTCTCTATTCTCTATCTTCCCTACAGTCCCTAAAATGGAGAGAGGATTGGGCCAGAAGGTGTGTTTTCATTTGACAAAACAAAAGCCTTATTCATTTTTTCAACAGATACCTAATGTCTGCCACTCTGGGCCAGACCCGGAGCTGGACGCTGGGCATGAAATAGTGAACAAAACTGACACCACGTTAAGCGCAGCAACAGGCAGCCACTGGCCAGAGATCACACAGCACAGGAGCCCAGGACTCTTGCCTCTAAGTTCTGCCTGCCAGGACTTCCGCCAAGCTGGAGTGTGTACCCCCGGTTCCTTCCACATCAGGCCCCAGTTCAAGCCAGGCGGGCTCAAGGCTCCATGCAACTTTCCATGTCAACAGCCCAAAGCGCTGACCTCACTTGCTTTTGCACAGGTTAAAGAAACTCTCAGCTGAGTGAGCCTTGCACAGTGAGTGTTGCAAGCGGGCAGGATTGGGAGAAGGAAAACCTGCTCCAGGTGCTGTTGGGATTCACTTTCAATTACTCTTCAGTATAAATGTTGGGACATTTTACAGTCAGCAGAGGGTACTGTCAGGGGAGAGTAAGGGCTATGAAATAAACACAAGGACTTGTCCAAGGTCGCACGGTTATGAAATGGTCTACCGAGGAGGCAAACTAGGCCTACCTGAACTCCCAACCTTCTGCCCCACCCTTCCAGAGGTCTGTGCCTCTGCGGGACAAGTGGCAGAGGCGACTACACACAATCCAGGGGAAACCACATCTCCGGTTGCTTCCTGAGCGAGCCGGAGGAGAGAGACTTCGGCGCCGGCCGGGCGCACTCAGGGGGAGGGAGAGGGTGAAGCGCTTCGCAGACCGGACGGCAGCTCCAGTCTGCAGGTAGAAACTGGTCAAAATGATCCTGCCCGCCAGGGTGCCTGGCGCCCGAAAGGAACTAAGCGCAGAGGCGCGGTTGGTACTCGTAACCTGGCGCATCCGGACGGTCCTGGAGCAGATTTTGCATGAAGGCGACTGCTCTCGTCCTCTCCAAAAAAGTCTCCCAAACTTTTGCGATTGTTAGTTTTTTAAAAAAACTAAATAAATAACAGCAGTGCACTTTTAGAAAAGGGAGTGGAGGCAGATATCTGGTTCTTTCCCGGGCCAGAAAATGCGAATGTTCTTACCTGCAGGGAACCTCGCAGCCGGCAAAAGCGCGTACTTCTGGAGCGCTTCACTTCGGCGCGGGACGCTCGAGGCCACCTCCTCTGCATCCCGGCTGGGCTCCGGCCCTGTGTTTTATACCACTATAGGCAATTAATATTGCATCAGCCGTATTTTAAATTTTCAAAACCCACAATATAATGTAATGGCATAAGGGCATTTATTATTAAAGGACACCCGATGGAGAGAGAGGTGGAGAAATCGCTGGGGCTGTTGCACGCGGTGGGGGCGAGGGGCTGAGGCCCAGGGAGCTGGGGGCGATCCGCAAGTTTGCTTTTGCAGTGGAGGAGGGGCGCGCTGCTAGGAAGGGAAACCTACTCTGCTCCGAATTTCGGATTTCGGGCTGGGGTCTGATGACCTAGAGCTGTTTGAGGACGCAGCAGAGGAATGTGCCGATGAATCCTGGATTTCGAGCATTAATTTTTAAATCAGGAAGATGTTTCTATGGTTCACAAATAAAAAGATTTCCGTCCCCTTTCAGAGGGAGCAGAAAGAGACAAGAGCCCTGGCATCTGTTGATTACACCCAGGGTACTATGCCAGGTGCTTTGCAGCAGATATATCAGCCCTCCCACAGAGAAGCCAAGAGAGACCACGGAGGGAGTACCCTTCTGGGTGACAATGCCAAATGCATTTCTGAAGGGACTTCGAAGGGGCCACAAGAGACTCTGTCCCAGCAAACACTTTCCTCCCTTTTGCCTCTATCCCCACACCTCCTCTCCAGCCATTTCAATTTTTTAAAATAATTTATTTGTTTCCTTCTAAGTCCAAGCACTTCTTAAACACCCTAAATAAACAATCTTGCCTAGTCCTGATGGTAATCTTGAGAGATAAGTATTAGCACCTTCCTTCTGCAATCAATCTTATAGGAAACTTACACAAGTTAGAAAAAAAGAAAAAGAAAAACTAGCCTCAGGATGGTTCAGGCGGTGAGTGGAGACACTGAGGCTTGAACCCCCATCAGTCAGGCTACAAAGTTTGCTCTCTGAGTCGCATTGAGGAACAGAGTCTGATGGATACGGCACAGAGAGGGAAGCATGGAGGAAAGTGCCTTGAAACCTTGAGGACCAGAGACCGCGGCTGGATCTCCCTAGAGGAGATCTGGGTGGGAGTGTGTGCGTGAGACCATGGAGGAAGAGGAGAGATGGCTGGGGGCTGCTCGGCAGTAAATGAGAGCCTAGCCCTTTTGGGTTCTCATTTTTAAGTCCTTTCCAAGACTAGTACCCCTCAGCCTTTGAGAAAGAAAACCACTGCGATTCGGGTTGAAAAATAAAGCATTTATTTTAAGAAGTTAATTCAAGGGGTAAAGAGAGAAGAAAACTTAATATTTTATTTGTATCTATTCGGAGAACGAAACCAAAGGTCACACAGCAACACGCAAACTACATGAAGGAATGAAAAAATAAAATATGACTGGTCCAAAGGGGCTGGGGAGAGAAGGGCCCAGGCCAGTGGTCCTGCTCCTCTTCTCTCACAAAATTATAAGTGAACCTCCACCAAGAGACCCACATAGAGGGAATGGAAGAAAACAGAGTTAAATAAATAATAGGAATTGATAATGCTAACAACAACAATAATAATAAACGGGCAACGAGGTTAGATGTGTTGGAAGGACTTGCATATGATTCAGAGAAGTGACAGTCACTTTCGAGCAGCCGACTCCACGCTGAGTTCGCAACCTGGTAAAAGCAGAGAGCTGGGGTGGGCGAGTCTTCAGTTAGTACAGAAAACTGCCAACCCCGGCTCTCCAGCAAGCGGTAATTACCTCTCAAACGCCAGCAGGTCGTGAGGGATGACCAGGGCCGGTGTTGGTGCTCGCTGGGCTTGCAGACAGCCAAGCGATCCCAGCCTTTTCAGTCGCTAGACTGGGTTCACATTTTTCTGGAGTCCTACCTACCGCGGAGAATAACAGCTCGAAGCCTGAAACTCCCCGCACACTTTCCCTGAACCTAATCTTCATGCTACCTTATGAGAATTTACGGCAAACCAAAGGATAAGATGGATAGAATTTAGGCAAAGAAGGAAGTATAAGGCTATCCTTTGGAAACATACGTGTATTTTTTATATACTCTAATAAATCTCCAGTACATGTTTGGGTCCCACTTAGATATCCTAAACTTTGTATTGTTATTTATCGCTTTCTTTCCATCCCTTCACCCCTCGCTTAATTGCGCTTAGCAAAGTGGCGCTTTAACCCTAGCTTCGGGCGGTGGGGCCAATTCACCACCCTCTGCCCGGGAGCTCCCGCCCTGAGGTCGCGCCGACCAGCGCGCCGGGGCAAATTTCAGCACCACGGACAGCGCGAGTCCCTCCGGGCCCGCCCTTCTTGAATTTTTTCCAAGCGCCAAAACTTTTTTTGGTGAGAACAGAAAGGAAAGAGAAAGAGAAGGCCGGGAGGCAACCAGGTGGGATAAAGGGAAAAGTCTGTGGCTTCGGGGGAGAGAGCCTAACCTGCCCGGAAGCGCCTTGGAGTTCCCCATAACCGTCCCCCCAACCCAGGGGGCATGTGCGCTAGGCTCTCCCGGCTCCCAACGGGGCGCCCCACCGCAGTCAGTGGACAGCCGAGTATTTCATTCGTTTCTGTTTCTGTCTCTGGTTGCAGAACCAGACCCTCACCACGTTCTTTTTAAGGTCCAGTTTCTCAGCGATGGCCGCTATCTTCTCGGAGGAGGGACGGGGCTGGATGGCGAAGTAGGCCTCCAGTGAGCGTTTCTCCGGCGCGGCGATGGACGTGCGTTTGCGCTTCCGCTCGCTGCCGTTGAAGAGCTCCGGCTTGCTGTTCTTCTCCCGGTAGGCCGCCTCGGCCTCCTCCAGCCAAGCCTGCAGCACCGGCTTGAGCGCGATCATGTTGTTGTGCGAGAGGGTGAGAGACTCGAACCTACAGATGGTGCTCTGACTGAGCGAGCCCACGCCGGGGATCTTGAGATTGGCTAGAGCTGCACCCACGTCCGCCTGGGTCACCCCCAGCTTGATGCGCCGCTGCTTGAAGCGCTCGGCAAAGGCCTCCAGCTCACGCGGGTCTGACTCTACGTCGCTGAGGCACGCGGGCATGGCGCTGTGAGGCGCCACGGCATGCGGGTGACTCATGCCCATGGCCTGGTGCAGGTGGCCCATGGCTCCCAGGTGGTGTGGATGGATCTGCGCGGGCATCACCGAGTGCTCCGGGGCGCCCAGGCCGCTCACACTCAGCGTGGGCGAGATGTGCTCTAGCAGGTCGCCTTCGAGGCCCTGGTGCACGGCGTGGTGCGGGTGTGAAGTGAGCGTGGCCGGGTGGGAGATGGGCACGGTGGACGAGGTGGACGTGCAGGGCACGCTGCTCATGGTATGGTAGGTGGCGTCGGGCTTGAACGGATGGTTCTTGCCGTGGGAGACGATATCCACCGCCGCCAGAGCTTCTGCGCGTGCCAGCAGGCTCTCATCAAAGCTTCCAAATATATTACCCTGCAGCTGCAAGCGAGAAGGCGCACAGCACGGTCAGTGGGGAATACTGTCAACTCAGGATTAAAACACATTTTCAAGCAACCGAGATGCCTCTCCTCAAAGCCCAGGTCATAAAAATTAATACGGAGGCAGCAGCTCTGCTGGAACAGACGTGTGGATCAGAGACGTGAATGAGAAAGAGAGCGCGCCGGGAGAGAGCGCGGGGGAGACAAGGAGAGGGGTTCAGACAGCGGCGATTGTTCTGGGCGACATGAAAAAAACATGAAGCTAGTGCCTGTCAAAAAATGTGCCTTAGAGCGGTAATTATGCTCCACTACGTACCTGCGGGGCTGGGAGACAGACTCGGCGCATGGCCTCGGAGCCGGAGTGCAGGCTGGAGAATTTGGGTTCTTGCAGCACAGGGTGCATGCCGAAAGGCTGCTTGGCGTTCATGGCCATCATCTTCGCACGCCTGGCAGGGTGGCAGCGGGGGACATGGAATCAGGCTTGTCTTGCTAGCTCGCTGCGCTCCAAGTGAGCGCCGCTCAGCGCCCGCGCTCCCCTCGCCCTCTCGCTCGCTGCCTCCCCTCTCCCCCACCTGCTTCTTCACTCATCTTACAAGCAGCCTGCCAGGAAGGGCCCGGGCGCGCGCAGGCGTGCTCGCGCGCTCGGGACTCGCAGGGGCGGCCCGGGAGGCGAGGCGAGACCGCAGCTCGCGGCGCGCCTCTCTGCGCCCCCGGCGGCCGCCCCCTCCGCGGCATTTATACCCCGGCCTGGCCTGGCCTCTTCCAGTCCGCCCCGCCCCGCCCGGCTCCAGCCCTGCAGACCTTCCGAGTCCTTTTTTCTTCCTGCACTATTTTTCCTCCAAAAGTCCCAAACCTCTCTGTCCTGTCCCAACTCGAACTGCAGGGATCGAAGGGAAGCCTTGGGCTGAGCAGAGGACCGGAAGCTGACCCTACTCTAAGCCCCCACCGCTCACACACACACACACACACACACACACACACACACACACAGCCCCCGTCGGCCCGGCTGCCGCCAAACTGCCCATTTCCAGGGCGCTCCTGGCCCCACGCCCGAGCCGTCCACCAGAGTCCGGCCCCGCGGCGCAGCGAGCAGGCGCCTCCAAGTGCCCAGACGGCCCGGGGAGGGCGAGGGGCTGCCAGAATGAGCCCCTGGCGACGCCCTCCCCGCCAGCCCCCCGCCAGGGTGGAAGTAGGGGCAGCAACTGCCTTCCAGGTCCAGGAGTGGCTTCCTCCCCACCTTTGCCTTTCTTGCTTTCATTTGAAAAAGACAGTTGGGCCCCCTTTCCTCGACCCTTCAGCCTAGTGAAGCTTACTGAGTATTTGTTAGATTAGTGACAGTTCAGGGTGGCCCCCGGGCCTTGGGAGACAGTCAGTGCACTTCAGGGGGGCAGCCAGCGCTTCCAAGCCCCACTCCCCATAACAACCACCACCATTTAAGAGCTCCTAATAAGTGCTAGACATTTAGGCTACTAGCTCATGCCACCCTCACACCAACCGAATGGAGTAGGCGCTGTTATCCCATTTTACAGATGAGGATGATAAGGGTCAGAGGGGTTAAGTGTTGAGCTCAAGACCACATGGCTGTTTGGGAGCAGAGCCATTCACCCACTCCTCCAGTCGTCCACCCCACCAGTATTTCCTGGTGGCCGACTGTAAACCAGGTTCCATGCCTGACTTCCTGGGCTCTTACCCACTCAGCCTCCTGGTCTTCCTACCTGAAGTTTCGGAACTTGAGGGCCCTGGGTTAGTACTCCTCTTCCTTACGCCCTCTTTTCCTCTCCTTCCCTCTCCTTTCTTGCTACCCCCACCCCCCACCCCCCTAGTAAACGTCGTGAATAATGGATGGGGAACCCTGGGACTGCCACTCCTCGCCGGTGGGGAGAGAAACCCCACGCTCCCAGCTGAGCCCCCCACGACACGATGGCTGCCTCCCCCGGGGGAGCAGTCTTCGGGATTTGGGGATGTCACCCAGCCTGCTAGGTCACGTGTGCGGGGGTGGGGGAGGTGGGAGGGGGTGAGAGGTCCGGGTTTCCCAGAGTCTTAGCTCAGTTGGGGACAGGGTGGTGGAAAGGACCGCCCTGGGCCTAAGAGGAAGCCCTGGCTAGACCCGGGCTCCCTGCTCACCTCGGGCCCTCCAATTGCTTCTCTCTTGGCCTGAGCCGGCTCCTGAGCTGGATCCTGCTGGAAGAGTGGGGAAAAGGACTCAGCCCAAGTGCGGGAGGCCAAGCGCAGCCCTAAACCTCTCTGAGCCTTGGTTTCCTTGGCTCTAAAATGGGAATTGCGCTGCTGTCTGCCTCCTTGGGTCTTGGTGGAGATGTTTCCAGCTATGGGAGTAAGAAAAGCATTGAGCACGGAAGCTAGTGCTCAGTAAACTTCCTCACCCTCTGGGGCCTTGGGGCGCAGGTCCTGCCATCGGATTCGGAATGTGCCTCTGCCTCTTGCTGGCCATGACCATGAGACCCTGACACCAACCACACGATCTCAAAGTCTCTGGATAGCAGTGTCCTCATCTATAAAGCAGGGATGGCAGTTTCTTTCCCACAGATTGTCGTGAGGCAACACTGAGATAGGCACTTGGCACAGTGCCTGGCACATTGAAATCATAGAATAAATGTTAGTTCCTCTCTTCTTCCTCAACTTAAAAAGAAAGTTGGGAGTGGGAGTGGCCAGAGGCATCTCCCTGGAAAATGGTTTCTTTGCAGGTGCACAGCTGGTTCCTTGATCTCCATTCATCCAACACTTGCTTTGTGCCAGATCCCCATGCCGAGGGCTGGGACAAATATGTGGTTCATACTCCACCCCTGCCCTCAAGGAGTGGCCAGTCTAAAATCGATAGCAGAAGATTGACTGGAAACTTGGCAATGCAGTGCAGAACATGTAGATTCATGAACAAGGCACAGAGCATGGGTAGTGGGATTACTGAAATGCAGGATACACAACAGAACATGGGCTTCAGGAGGGCTGGGTGTTGGGCTGCATTCTGACACTTAGTCTGGGTAACCCTGGCTGGGCCTCAGTTTACCCACAAGGAGTTTACCCATCCGGATGAGATGATTGCTAAGCACTTCTAGCTTTAACAAAAGACTACTATTCTGGTTAATTTGAATGCAACATATTTTCAGCAAATCAGGAGCTTCTCTCCAGGGAGCCTCATTTCCCCAGAAGCTAAATGCAGAATTATTTTATCACTCACCAGCATTTGGGATCACTCAGTCTTGTTTTCTGCCCCACACTAGAAGCCCAAAGGGAAAGGGAGGATGAAAAATGTGGATACTGGTTATGCATCTTGCCTGGCCTCAGGATGCCCTGAGACCCACACTCACTGCATAAAATACTCTAGTTGTCTGTGAAGCCAAAATCCCAGAAACTGGGAGGGAAAGGTCCATCCACATCCATCTCCTTTCTCTGCTCTGTCCCCTCAGGGGGCCTGGGAGATACTGGCCAGGGTAGAGGTCATGCAAGGGTCAGAGACAGGACAAAACCAACTGGCCCTCTTATGCCTCTAAAGCCAATTTTTACCTTACCAGCTCCCACTCTAGCATCCCCTAGTATTAGGACCACAAATTTAAAAAACACTTGTGCCTAGCCCCCTGTGTTTCCTGAGTTCTTCCCGTGCTCTCCTCTAAGAAGGTCTACTAGCAGCTCTGGGCAGCCAACAGTAAGATGACATCCATCCTTAAGGACCCTGTTTTTGAGAAGCCCCTGCAGCTAACAGAAGACCAGAGGAAAAAAAGATCACACATACAGAAAGGAATGGGGAAGGAGAACCTTAGAGGATAGTTGTCAACAGCCTGTACACTTTCCAGGATTTGCAAACTTAAATTCTGTTGGAGGCAAGTCCAGTAAAATAAGTTAGTGACTCCAGCTGGCCAATACAAGGGGAGATTGGGACTGTGGTAAACTGAAGAGCACAAGCCCCTCCCATGGCATTAAATTACAATTTAAACACACGCGCGCGCGCACACACACACACATATAGTATTTATGGGCCAAAAAAAATCCGTCTGAGGAACCAAGTAAGGTCCACATGAGCATTTATGCAAGTGGCACAAAGAGGGACATTCTCATCCTTCTACAAGAAACTTCTAAAGAGTCTTGTGGTGGATCCCTCATTTATAGAGGAAACTGCTTCAGCATCTCCGAGTCTGGCGGGGACATATACAAAGCCAAGGTAGGGCACAGAGTGCTGCGTCCTCCAGAAGGACTAGCCTTGTAGAGATGCAAAGGGGTAGGGGTGCGAGAGGGGCGGAGGCATTTTCCCCATGGGCCAGTGGTTCTCAACTTCAGCGTGAATAGGAATCATCTGCAGCCTCTTAAAATACAACAGCCCAGGCCCACATGCGAAGATTTTGACCGCAAGGAATAAAGTGCTTTTCAATAGACATCCATGATTTGGATGCAGGTGACCCAGACTCTCAACTTGAAAAACTTGCTCTGGATGTTTGTCACTTGTCTCATTATTCACAGAGACTCAAAGAGAGTTTCCCTTCTTTGAGCTCCCAATGTCTTTTGCATTTTCCTCTATTATCTCTTAACAAGAACATGATATTTTGTGGTCTCTGGTCCTTGAAGGACTCCAAGACTTTTTTGAGGATGAGTCTTAGCTGTCTCTGTGTTTCCAGTGCCTGTGGAAATTTCCACATCAAAGCTATGATGTTGATATTATTATCTCCATTTTACAGATGAGAAAATTGAGGCATAGAAAGATTAAGTAGGTAGCCCGAGGCCACAAATGAGGCAGTGGCAGGGCAGGGACTGGAACCCAGGTTCATCTGACTCCTGAGTCCATACACTTAGCTAATATCCTGGCATCCTGGGCTGGCGCCAGTTACCTGCTGCCCAAGCTCAGGGGCTGAGGAAGTGGGGTGAGCAGGTTTTATTTCTCCTTTCTAGAGGCTCAGAGGCTGGCCGGGCTCCAGGCCTGCTTCCGGCACAGGCAGCCCTTGGAGAAGCCAGCACTACCAACCCAACCACCTTCGCTCCCCGCCAAGCCCCAGCTTGGAGAGCTGGAGGGGGGCAGGGTGGATGGAATGGGAGATGGCCAGATAGGAAGGCTCGAACTCAAGATGCCACAGCGTAGGAGGCAGCTGGCGGGGCTGCCTGGCCAGGTGTTCGCAGCCGCCTGCCTCGCCTCCCTCTTCCTTTCTCTCGTCTCCTTTCACAAACTTCTCACATGTACAGGCCGCCTGCGCAGCTGCCGCGGGACTCGCCTGTCGGCCGCTGCCTCGCATTGTCTGCGCGGGCTCCGACGACCCGAGACGCCCAGAGGGACTTGAGCGGAGGCTGAGCATCCGTGGGGGAGCGGCACGCGCCCGGAGCCCTCCCCTTCCCCCGGTGCCCCGCCGTGAACAGAGCCCTGGGACCGGGTCAGTAGGACTCCAGGCCGGTGCTTGCCTCCTCCCAGCCTCAGTTTCCCCATCTGACAAGTGAGCAGACCAGCCAAGGGATCTCTGGGAGCCCTTCCCAGTTACATTCTTCCACTGAACGTGTGTTTATTGAGCACCTATTGTTAGGCACCCACTAGG